TTTTTTGAGTTGGAGTCTCACTCTGTCATCCAGGCTGGAGTGCAGTGGCATGTTCCTAGCCACCACAGCCTTGACCTGCTGGGCTCAAGCAGTCCTTCTGCCTCAGCCTTCCAAGTAGCCAGAACTACAGGTGCGTTCTACCACGCCCAGCTAATTTTTTTATTTATTGTAAAGACAAGGTCTACCAAATTGCCCAGGTTGGTCTTGAACCCCCGGGCTCAGGCAATCCTCTTGCCTCGGCCTCTCAAAGTGCTGGGATTACAGATTGAGCCACTACACCCAACCAAAATAGTTTTTTGAGGCTCAAGAGAATCAGGTGTCCCTGTGATTTGATAAGGAAAATAAGGACTTGAGTCTTGCCAGTGTGCCTGCGTTGACCAGATACAGGGGAAATTGTTCATAATGATTCACAAGAGCAGTCATAGCATGGCATGGGCTATGGAGCCTTGGCATCTACATCTGAATCCTGCCTCTATCACTTCCTAAGCTGTGTGACCTCAAGCGATGTCTTTACCCTCACTGACTCGATTTCTTCAGCTGTAAAGTGGTGATACTAATGGTCACGAGCTCAGAAGTTTCTTGCAGAGATTAAATGTGTTCGTTCATGTAAAATATGAACAAGGGTGCCTGCCATACATCAAGCACTCCATATGCATTAGCTATCCTTATGATTATTATTGAGAGGATCGTGCATACAACAAAACGGACTTATTTTGCAATGGGAGAGACCCCTTTTCAAAGACCAGAATGCTCACAAACCCCCTGTAGAGCAGCGCTGTCTCTCACAGTGTTTCAGTATCAACTGGGGAAGCTGAGTTGACCATCTGGAAAGGACTTAGAGCGCTGGATTCAGAGCAAGGGACGTGGCTTATGATGGGGAGTATTTCATGGGCCACGGGGAGAGTGGCCTGGAGAGCTCTCCCAGGCCCACAGCAGGACCTCTCCCCTTGAGTTTGCCCCATCCCCTGGATTCAGTCTGTTGCTAATTCTGCCTCTCAGATTCATTTCCATTCTGTTGTCTACTCTACGCAATTTTTCTTTAAACACGCAAGCAACGCTTAGTTTTAGACATGTAATACACCCAAACCTTCCTTATTCTGCCCTATTTTGGCCAGTAATATACTGTCTTTCGTGGCTTTTGCTTCCCTCCAAACTCTTTGATTATGTATTGGTTTCACCTGTTAAATCTCAGGGGTTTGGCGGTATCTTGCAGGTGTTTCTAGGCATGGACGTGACCAATGTTTCCCAGTCTACCTCCTTGGGACAGCCCAGGGAGCCTATTTAGACCAAGTGGCACAAAATTCTTCTAAATTTGCATAACTGGATGTCTGTTTCACTGCTCAGAGCATAAATGAGAATAACTTTCAGGAGGGAAGGATTGCAGGAACACAGGAATGCCACCAAACTGTCACATACCTAACATTTTGAAGTACTTTGGTTACTTTGTGTCCAGAGATAAACAGAGCTGGGTAAAGGAGAGTTTCTGATGTGTCCAGCGGTAAGCAGAGAGACTGGAGAACTATCTTGGCCAGTCTAATTCAGCATTCAGCCATCTTGCCCAGAAATCTTTTAAATCTGAATGACCTAGCAGCGTTTTGAAGGAAAGCAGTAGTTTCCTGGAAAATTGCTTCAGTCTGGATCAGTGGAGTTCAGCTGTACTTACCAATGCAGATAAGGACCTCTCCAGGTGTAGGCCATTGGTGAGATCATCGACAAAAGGGAAACATATTTGGTTGTCATTGATTTTATAAGATCACAAAAGAGATACTGTAAGGCCTGCCTGACATCATCAATGGAAAATGAGAAGAAGATGAGGACTGAGGGATGATTCTATCTTTCATTGAAAGGAGAGAACACAGATGAGCTCATCTGACGTTTTCACAGGAAGGGAGAGGCAGAAAATATTTCTCCTTTCCTGGCATGTTTTTCTGCTATTTTATGAGTTGAATAGCTGACACACATAGTGTCTAATAAAGAGATCACAGAAACCTCACTGGGAAAATAAAAATAAAAGGCAGTTGTTTTTTTTTTAAATTCTTTTCTCTGTCCCTCTCCATCATGAT